AAAGAAGGGGATTGGTTGATTGTATGATTTTGGTTGTATGTTTTTATTTCTGTGGTTAGTAGGATTTTGAAGTAGGTGAAGTTGTTAAGTCTTATGTAATCTCTTCCAGTGTAATTGTTAAGTCTTATGTAATTCTGGTATACTAATAAAATGAGGCACTCTTTTCCTCCCTCCATTACTTGATCCTTTCTGTTAGGAAAGGGTTATCTATGAGGGAGGTTTTTAATGAGGCCTCCTATTTCTATAAAAAAAAGGATCAAATTGGATGATATTCCTGATAATGGAGATTTTATCTTGAATTCTAATGATTGAGTACTTTTTTTTTGTACCAGGTGACAAGATTAGTGAAAGAAGGAACTGGGAAAACCACCTTAGCAAATGAAGTTGGAATGATTCAAGAAGCTGACATTGGAGTCGGCATCAGTGGTGTGGAAGGCATGCAGGTTGTTAACGAACTCTTCTGTACTGATAGTAGCAAATGAATCTTTTATATAGTTTTACATTAAGGATGTTCCTTATTTATGAATTTAGAGGAGAGATTATCTCATTGGCAATGGGCTTTAAATGGGAGTTTGCTCGTTTGGCCCTTTGCTGAGTTTGTGATAAATATTTTGAGCTCAATGATTCTTGTTAGCTGCACTTTGGTTCAGTTAGTAAATAGATGACCTTAGCAGTTTACACAACCATCCTCTTTGGGAGATAAAATATTGTTAGGTTTCTTTTGACTCATAGGAGCAATAACTGGATAAATGTTCATAATGTAATTATTAACTATATTGAAAGCTTTAGCTATCTTTATATGACTCTTCTTAAGACAACTTATTTCCGCATGTTTGTGAATTACCAATAAATTGTTCCCTTTTGCAGGCTGTAATGGCCAGTGACTTCTCCATTGCCCAATTTCGTTTCTTGGAAAGACTTCTTGTTGTCCATGGACATTGGTGTTATAAGAGGATTGCACAGATGGTAATATCAACAGATTGTCTAAACTAATGTTTCATTTTGTTGTACATTTTTATCTCGATCATCTCCTATTTTTGTTCCAATTTGACCGGTATTTTTTTATTCAGGTTTGCTATTCCTTCTACAAAAACATAGCATTTGGCCTCACGCTCTTCTACTTTGAGGCATTCACAGGCTTTTCCGGACAATCAGTGTATGATGACTGGTACATGTTATTCAATGTTGTTCTTACCTCATTGCCTGTGATCTCACTAGGAGTGTTTGAGCAAGATGTTTCTTCCGAGGTCTGCTTACAGGTTAGTCTGCAGAGGTTTCTTTTATTAGCAATTCATCAATGTTGCTGGTGACTTCCTTTGTAACGATTAGCCTACTTCTGTTGCAGTTTCCTGCATTATATCAGCAAGGACCTAGAAATTTGTTTTTCGACTGGTATAGGATACTCGGGTGGATTGGCAATGGTCTATATTCCTCCTTTATCATTTTCTTCCTCGATATTATCATCTTTTATGACCAAGCTTTCCATTCTGGAGGCCAGACGGCTGGTATGGCTGCTTTGGGAACAACAATGTTTACTTGCATCATTTGGGCTCTTAATTGCCAGATAGCACTCACGATTAGCCACTTCACATGGATTCAACACTTCTTGATATGGGGCAGCATTTCAGCTTGGTATTTGTTTCTCCTTGTTTACGGCATGGTATCTCCCACTATCTCTGGTAATGCCTATCGAATTCTAGTGGAAGCTCTCGCTCCGGCACCCATCTATTGGTTAGCCACCCTTTTAGTAACTGTTGCGTGCAATCTTCCATGCATGGCCCATATATCTTTCCAAAAATGTATCAACCCAATGGATCATCATATCATCCAAGAGATCAAGTTCTACAAGAAAGATGTTGAGGATCAAAACATGTGGTCTCGGGAGCGATCAAAGGCAAGACAGGAAACCAAGATTGGGTTAACAGCACGTGTAGATGCAAAGATCTGACAATTAACAGGGAAGTTGCAAAGAAAGCATATGTCTTCGGAACTGCAGAGTCCAAATCGCCTATCATAGCATTGCTCATGAATTTTGTTACCTTTTGGAGATTTTTAGGGTCATTTTTCCGGGCCCTTTACGGTTCATTTTTTTTAATTATTATTGTTATTCATTTGCCTATCATTTTATAGGTTATAAGTACCATTCATTATACACAGGCCTTTGGTATGTAAGCTACTAGACACCCATAAGAGTTTAGGGTTACTCTGTATAATGTACAATGTTGAAACTGTTGATGTAAAGAGAGAGAAAAAAGGGTTTGAACCGTGTCAATCTTGTGTTTTGATCTTGTATTGTTCATAGACTTTAGTGCATATTTGTATGTTTTTTTAATTGTATTCTACAGTTCATAACATTGCATCATAAGTTTGGGTTTTGACTGCAGTTTGGTAAGTTTTGGTCAGACCCAATCAGTATTTAAAACAGAAGAGAACCCCCGCTAGTATATAATACAGCTACTTTAATATCTCTCAAGTACCTTTTAAAAAACTTAATTCCATTACCGCTTGGGAAAAGCTTGTGATTTTCAAATTGGTGTTCATATTCTTTTAAAACTTTATCAACATCATAAGTTATTTCATTGGAATAGGTTATCACTATTGAGCAATAAGTTGTTAAAGTTGAATGCAATAATATTGAATGTTAAAAGTTCACAATTCCTCTGGCAAAACCTTTAATGTTTGGCAGTGAATGTTAAAAGATCTTAACAGTTATACAGGTAGAACCTTTTATGCTTTACTGATTTACTGTATAAAATATAAATCTATGAAACATCAGTTCAGATTAAAAATTTTATGATGTGCTTGTATTTATTGCAGAGAAAATAAAAATCTTACAGGAACAACAAGATATACAAGCATACTCCACCTTGGAGTTGGTACGATAACATGGAGAGTAATTGTGTACTTGCATCATCCATAATTGAACGGACTGTATTCGATTTCGTAGAAGCTTATGAAAATTTCAGAGAGAGAGAATAGCAGGGGATCACCTCCAGCCATAGACAAAAGTGTTTTTGATCCACATAAACCTTGTAGGCAGCAACCCTCAGAGACCCTTTCATCTTGCCTTCAACCGCATAAACCTTGCAGGCAGCAACCCTCTTCTTCCTCTGCAGCTCCGGATCATTGAATCTCCAGGTCTTCGAAGAAGAGCTCTTGCTTTTCTTCATCTTCATCTAATTTGGTTGAACACAGTTGGCGTAGTTGGCACTGTAACATCTGAGGTTTTGCATGTTACTTGGACCTACTTCGTGGTAATTCTCCATCTACATATCTCCATCCCTGTATGACTTGGACCTAAATCCTTCCATTAAACAAACAAATGTATGGATTTTGCTGGAAAAAACTGCAATGGTTGAGATTTGAACATGAAGTTGAGGCAGTGAAGGAAATAAAATAGCTATGGTAAGTGGAAACAGCTCAATTGGGGGTGTACTTTTAGGCTGTAGTTAGTCTACCGGTTATTTATATTTTAATAAATTACACCATAAGTCATTCTATTATTCATAAGATTGTAAATATGTTATCTAATTTAAAAAAGTATAAACAAGTTATTTGATTAATTGACTATTACAAACAAGTTATGAGCAGTTCAATATTAGTTGTTAAACGTAAAGTATTTTACTCGTTAAAACATATTAGGTTTTAAAAAAAGTTAAGGTTGTTATCCAATTAGTTGATTGTAATAATGTCATGTGTACCATTGTCTATAATCATATAAGTGTCTGATGATCTTAAATTTTATTGTAAAATTCACATTGATTTTCTCACTCAATTCATCAAATTAGAATAATGAAAATCTCACTCAAAAGTTATAAAATCACCTCAAAACTTTCATATAGACGTTCGTCGTTGTATACTGTCCATTGTTAGATGATCTATGTCTTAAAATATGTTCTTCCTTTTATCAGTGACAGTTTTCATAACGTTCAAATGATTAAATAGAATTTTAGATCTTTGAGACCTTCAAGATCTTAAATAAGTTCTCTTTTATGATTTTATTTTTTATTAGTTAACTCATTTATGACTTTTTCAAATTAAATAATTTATTTATAATTTTATTAACAATTAAACAATTTATTTGTAATTTAATTAATAATGAGATGATCAGTTACCTAATTTACTCAATAATAAAATCATCTAACGGTTCCTTTTAAAATTATATTTTAACGATAAAAAATACATTTGTAAAAATCGATTGTTTGAAGAATTTAATTTATAATTTATTAAAATTAGAAAACGCATGTGTAACTTTATCTGTAGCGTTGCTTTCCGTGGGTGTGAGTTAGTGAAGAGATGTGACAATTTCTACTTTATATTCACTCGTTCACGCTCCATGCCTCCAAAGCACGAGGAATAAGCCATTGATGTGGATCTGACACGTGTAATACTGTCAATTTTTTACTTTTAAAAAAGTAAAATAAAAATAACGAGCGTGTGGACGGGGAGGACATTCTCTGATGTTGACATTGAGTGGCTTGGGAAGTGCAGAGCTACTGTGGTAAAGACGGACAAGTGGATCATGTTTTGAATGCCCAATCCATATTTGACACGTACTGCTATAGCCAATTCCCTCTCAAAACTCAAATACTGTAAATCAAACTCTCAACACATTAGCCATCCAAGTTGACAAGTACTTATATAAAGTTACCGAGGACAACTCCTTTGATATTTCCATATAAACAACGATTATAAATTCCTTTCTTCACCAAAACAACACAAAATCATAGAGGAAATTACTCTAAACGAATCTCCCACCATCATCTCTTCGCACATTCACTTTTAGTGATTGGATTAATCTATTCTGAAATCACCGACTCCATGAAAATGAAACCCATTGTTTACTGGTGAGGCCATTGTCTCGTTATTTAATCACTTCAACTGAAATAAAATATTATATGCAAGTGAAGAGGCTTCCACCAACTTAAACAATCTAAGTGACATCAGCGGTGAGTAATTTATATTTAACATAAAACCCACTGCAATCATCATTATGCAGCAAATGTGCAGGACCCATACCATTAAAATGGTCAAATATGTTGAGGAACACCATTAACTTAACACACTATAAAGCAAAACAAACAATAAGAGTGCACGCTGAATACGACTTTGCAAAGACAACAAAACGCTTTGCCTCAAACAATGGTTAAAAAACGTAACCTTATCAAAGGAGATCGGCAACGTTTGATGGCAGCTCCTCGATTATCACATTGTAGAACTTCTGGATGTCATACAGCATTCTTTCATCATCATTCGTCACAAAGTTAATAGCCACACCTTTTCTTCCAAACCTTCCACTTCGTCCTATTCGGTGGAGGTAGTTTTCTGGTTGAGTCGGCAGATCATAGTTTATAACAAGGGAGACTTGCTGCACATCAATACCACGAGCAAGGAGATCAGTTGTGATGAGAACACGAGAAGAACCAGAGCGGAATTCTCGCATGATGATATCACGAGTATTCTGATCCATGTCTCCATGGGTTGCGGAAACTGTGTGGTCACGGCTACGCATCTTGTCAGTAAGCCAGTCAACCTTGCGTCGAGTGTTCACAAAGATGACACTCTGTGTGATGGCAAGGGTCTCATAGAGATCACAAAGGGTTTCAAGCTTCCAATCCTCCTTTTCAACATTCACATAAAACTGTTTGATACCCTCAAGGGTGAGCTCATCACGCTTAACCAAAATTCTCACAGGTTTGTTCATGAACTTCCTAGTGATTTCAAGGGCTTCAGGTGGCATTGTAGCAGAAAATACTCCAACCTGAATCTTAGATGGCAGCAGTTGGAAGATATCGTAGATCTGATAAACATGTCATTATTAGAGCACAAAATATAAAAAAAAACACAATGATATCCAAATCAAGAATCACTTGAAGGGAGGATAAAAAATAACAAACCTGATCCTTAAAACCACGGGAAAGCATTTCATCAGCCTCATCCAGGACAAACATCTTAATATAATCTGGGCGAAGTGACTGCCTCCTCAACATATCAAAGACACGACCAGGAGTGCCGACAACAACATGAACACCACTTTGAAGAATGCGCTGATCCTCGCGAACACTTGTACCACCAACACATGCGTGGACCTTAACACCAAGGTAATCACCAAGTGCCCGCATTACCTTCTCAATCTGTTGTGCCAACTCCCTAGTGGGTGCCAAAACCAGAGCCTGACATTGGACGATACCATAATCAAGTTGCTGTAAAATTCCAGAGCAGAAAGTAGCTGTCTTCCCAGTTCCAGACTGTGCCTGCTGAATAACATCAAGACCCTTGCAAAATGGAACAATACCACGTTGCTGAATTGCGGAAGGCTTCTCAAAACCTTGGATGATATTTTGGACAAAAGAATAAGAAATCAGCATAAATTTAGCAAAAACAACCTGTAGAAAGAGGTCCTAAAAGTGGCAGATCACATACCATATGCATAGATACCCCTCAGAAGGTTCTCTTGAAGTCCCATAGCATCAAAACTGTCATGAACTTCATCATAACTTGTGAAAAAATCATCTCCATCAGTTTGGAGCCTGTGCCATTTGAATTTTTAACCAGAAATAAGAATCAACAAGTTGTAAACCAAATAGCAATAACCCCCCTCACTAAAAATGAGGAAAAAAAAACATATGCAAAGGGTAGATATTATGCAATCTATAAAGCAGAAACTTACAACTCAGTCATTTTCTGATCATATTGGCGAGCATCAAATTGGGATCCTTCCAGTACCAAACCTGCCATGACTGTGCAGAGGGAAGAAAGAATAAACTTATATGTTTACATGATCCTCCAAATTGAGACCATAGATTTCAGATTAAAAGATACAGTAGGTTACTTCTAAATTCCATTAAGCAGTATTCGGATAAAATCACTATGTTGTATAGTAGTATATAACCACCAAAAGATATAATCTCCAAGAAGTAATATTGAAAGTTTTTAATGACGTTGAAGGCCAGAGATTTTTTCCATATTGAGAAGATGTAACAGAAGAGCCAAACTTGCACACCAAGGGAAAGAAGCACAAGCATTATCTTCTGATTTAGTATTTGGAGAAGATATACAAAGAGACATATGGTTATCTGATATTTGGATCACAAACCCTTTATCACCAGACACCATATTGCCTGTCTTTCCAAAATTCACTCAGGGCCAAGAGCTTGGAAGAAAGGTTTAACACTGTTATTACCAAAAACCTAAATATTTCTACATAAGACACGTACTGAAAGCACTGTCTCAGCCCTCAGGCGCACCAAATCATCAGTTAAAAGTAGTTAAATAGATAATAAACATTATTCATTAACAATACATCCTTTCTATATATAGATAGGTTTATTGATGAACAACCCTCGATTACTATTGACATAAGTAACTTATTCAGTATGAAGGGTTTGGTAAAGAAAGTGGGGTTAGTTAATACAAATGTTAGAGCCGTTGTCTAACTCTAATCCATTCAAACAGTGAGACAAATACACCTTTCAACTTAGATCACCAATACCCCATATGTTAAAACTCAGCCTCATAATTACACCATCCAGTAGCATTAAAACTGAACTAGCATCGGGCATTTAGCATCATAAATCAATAATGCTTTGCTTTTCCTTTACCATCAATCATCTTACTCAACTAATTATAAGATACCATACCCAGAGCTGGAAGCTGCAATGTTAATAGTTAAGATCTGTTTACAATAAGCACACAAACCAAAAGCATTACATAGAGAGAAGTTCCGATAACAAAAACCTTTCAAAATTTCTACACTTTGGAATCTAAGATACAAATGAGAACTATTTTTTCTTCTTTCCTATTATATATCCAACAATTTTCTTCTTTTCAGGAACAAACTTAGCAGAAGAGTCTAAAATTTGTTAATTTCTCAAATCTCGAAGAACAAAGAAAAATAACCAACTTTTCAAGGGAAAAGGAACACAAAATCATCTACGTGAACTAATCAATCTAAAAAAAATAACCCAAAAATATACAATTAAAACAGATCAAACCCAGATCCCAAACAGTAAAACTAGATATCATTAACATGAAAACATATCCAACAAAAAGAAACTAAAACCGCAAACAGAAGGAATTCAATCAATCAAAACTAGAACACCTGATGATACAAAATAAAAAGGAACAAAAATAGGAAGAGAGAGCAACCTTGAAGCTGATGAAAAGAGCAAAGAGCAAAGAGAAAAGGAGAAAAGGGGGGAAAGAGTGTATTAGGGATGGGAAAGTGGGTTTGTTGAAGAGAGGGGGGAAAGGGGTAGTTTTATTAGAGCCTTTTTCGGTTGATATTTATGGGGGGAGATAGGGTTTTCCCAACCTCGGATCTGCGCCGTGGAGTTTTGAGAGCAAAACCTAAAGAGTGAAGAGAGCGTCGATAGCAAACGCAAAGCAAATCAAGCAATATAAAGCGTTTGAGTGTCGTTTCTCTTTTAGGTTTTAATTGTTTGATGGATCATGGATGTCTCATATCCGTATCCTACTTGCTACTTCCACGGTTCTAATCCTACATCCCTACTGATTTCCCCTCTTTGCCCTTCATTTTCTTTCTTTGTTACAATTAAGGACTACAACTTGGGTTTAAGAAGTCAAATCCCTAAATCCATCGAGCGATTTCGAGTTCGAGCAACGATCTCCACATAATGCGTGCATTCATTATCAATAGATTGAGATAAATTCTAAATATCCCTAGATTTGTTTGGTGTTTACAATTCGACTAGTTTCGTCAAATTTTCTTTAATAACAAATCTAATAATTGATTTATAATTACATAATTATATATATATATATATTAAATTATAGTTAATGTAAGATTAAAAATGAAAATAAATTTTATATTTTAAATTTAATTTAATATATTTTTACATTTATAATTTAATGATTATATATAATTATTAAATTGAGTAATTTTAACTTAATTAGTAACTGTACGAACTAATTTACCTCATTGGTTAAAGGAATAGTTATTATTTTTTAATGTCATTGGTTCGAGTACCAGTGACTACAAGGGTGATTTAGTTTTCATTATCAAATGATTGATAGTATTTAGAACTTTTACTACTTTATAATCACTTTAGCTTAATAAAAAAACTTAATTAATAATTTTAACTTTTTATTTAAAAATAAAACGCGTGACTTATTTAATTTTTCTAGTTACTTTGTTGGATAAATTATACCATTGGTCACTTAACTATTGTCTCTTATCATTTTGATCATCCTTTTTAAAATTTTGTCAATCAAGTCACCTAATTATTTAAATGCTTTCAATCAAGCTACTTGTTATTAACATTTAACAGAGATTATGACATGAATGTTAATAAAATTAGTATAATTATATATTTGGTCCTCATTATTTATATATTATATTAATTTAGTTCTAATTTTTAATTTAATTTTAAATTAATCCTCAATCAGAAAGGCCAATGGAAAATTTAGGCGCACCTCAACCACAGGGGTAAACTCCATTTTTGATATTTGATTGCAAAAGGTTTTATATATTCTCTTTTAAATTATGGCACAAAGAAGGAAATAAAAGGATTCAAGCTAGGGGATTTTAACTTGAAATGGGTACACCATAACCACCGGCGTAAATAAAACTTTTGAAAAACACTTGTATTATTAATTTATATATCTTTAATATTTATTAATGGCAAGAAAAAAAATAAAATAATCAAGTCAGATCTCAAATCTAGGTCTGTATGATATATGAAAGCATCTTAATCATCAAAAAAAATTAATAAATAAATTATATTTCATATATATATATTAAATTGTAGTTAATGCAATATATAAAAATAAATACGAGTTTAAAATTTTATATTTTTAAAATTAAATTATTTTCCTTTTAAAAATAAAATTATATTAAAATTTCATTTAATGAACCCAACGTTACAAGTATAACTTAAATCACAAAATAAATTTATAATTCAAATCTTAAATTATTTTTGTCTACAAAAGGTTTTTTTAAATTATTTCTCATTTTATTTAAATTTATAATTATTTAAAAAGAATTGCGAAAATATAAAAAAGTAATTTAATTTACAAATATATAAATCTTAAATACATTTACTTTAAATATATGACAAAGATATATATATATATATATATATGGGTTAGGATCCACTTACACCTAGTGTAAAACTTTTAGTTTACACCTAGTATAAAACTTTTAGTTTTACACCTTTTTAGGATATTTGAATTAGTGAAAATCAAAGGTTGAGATGAACTCATTATTTTTTTTCCAGTGAATATTTTCACATTTAGTACTGTTAATCTCAGTCTTATAGTGTAATTGAAATTTGTCTTGGTGTTACCGTACACCCACTAAAAAAAATCATCGACTCGACTTCTTTTGGACTTAAAATGGGCTAATTTGAGCCCAAATATCATCGACTCGAAACCCAAAAGCCTATTAGTTATGCGGATTGGGTAATTTCTCTTGGATCCATTTCTTAAAATCACTGACTAAAGAATATACGAGTGAGCATATAATGATATTAAGAGGATGGATGGGAAGAGAAAAGTTGGAAATAGTCACCTTTTAAAAAATTTAAATTAATATATATTTTAGATTTTTTTAAATTTTAAATTGATAATTTATTTTCGTCCCTAAAATTTTATAAATTCATCACCTCTTAAAATTTTAGAAGCTTACCCATAGCATAAAACTCTAAGTTCGTCCATGAATATTACTACTCTTTTTTCAAATGTAAATGAAAGATGACGAGAAGAGAGAAAGAGAGAGACCAAAATAGTGGTATTGTATAGAAAACTTGATTGATGACAACAAGTACATGTTTATTTAAATGGCAACATATGATCTAAAACACTAACCAACCTCAAACGTTCTCATAAAAATTTTCCATTGATTTGTAGCAGAAGAAACATATCTAAAGAGGTACAAGACCAAGCTCGGATGTTTTTAGTGTATGTTGTAAAGATAACAGTGAAGATTTCCATCACCTGACCCAAATTTCAGTTCTTCATAAAATATTCACCGTGCAGCATCAAAGTCCTTTCGTTTTGCCACAATAAACGCATCATTCATCAATTGAAGTAGAGGGGTCCTTACAAGCAGGAACACAGGATTCTATACCAAGGGTTGTGGACTTTTAAATTTAATAAAACTATAATGACTAAGTTAATATAAAATAACTATTATAATAACTAGTAAAAGAAACATGCACATCAAATAACATTCCTCCTCATTTGTCTCTTTTCTGTTTCACAAAAAGCAACAATTTACAATTTGTACCTACACACTGAAAGATAGCTTATGAAGTTCTAAAATCAAAGAAGTTTGATAAACTCAATATTTCATTATAGAAACTCCCAAAGTAAATTTAAGGGTGACGATAACATACATATTTGAAAATATGAATAAAAATGGAATTATGAAGCTTCAAATAACTTGAAAATACATCAAGAAACAAGTTTCTCAACTTAATTTCGAATTTCCTCTGATTGAAATTGAATAAACAAGGAAAACTAGTTCATGAGAAAGATAAGAAAATTGAGATTTAGGGGATGATTTTGTTATGCTCTCAAGGTTAATTTTCGAAAAAGAAAGTAGGATTTGATTCTTTGATGTTTGAATTTTATGAAAAAAATCAAGAAAACGCAAGAAGCTTGAAGAAATTTGAGAGAAAATCAAGACAAAATATAGGTTAAATAATGTTTCTTTCGTGAAAAACAAAACCCTATTCCAACTTTTATTTTAGAGAAAATAACTTCAATGACCGAAAATGCCTTATAATATACGATTTTAACCATTTTTTTTGGATTTGCGAAAATAACCAACAAATTCGCAACGCGAACTCCAATTTCGCAACACAATTTCCAAATTCGTAACACAGTTTTTGAAATCACAACGCGAATTTATTTTTCGCAACGCGATTTTCCAAATTCGCAACGCGGAATTTCAAATTCGCAACTCAATTTCTGAATTCGCAACGCGAATTTCTTTTCGCAACACAAGTTTCCTTTTCGCAACAAGATTTTCTAATTCGCAACTCGATTTTCGAATTCACAACACGAATTTTAATTTTGCAACAGCTTTTATTTCGCAACACAAATGTTTTGGGTATATAAACTACGCAGCAACTCATAACCTAAATCCCTAAATCGCAACTCATACCATCTTCATCTATCACTCTATCTGGTGACATCTGTTCCTATATCCAACGACATCTTTCCCCATCTCTAATTTTCTTTACATAATTTTATTTCTATATAATTTTCAATGATTTCTCTCCTAAATTATCAACTATCAACTTACTAAAGGTGTGTTTTTCTCTAAGTTAATGATGATATCTAGTTTATAGCTCGTTTGTTTAGTAAATTAATTTATAATTTGTAGAATGAAATCATCTAATGTTGATCATGTTTGGATAGATTTGTGTTTTGGAGGGTAATGGGAGAATGTTAATGGTGTTTTACAATATATAAAGCATTTACCCATGAATCTTCAACTAAAACTGTCATTAAAAAAAGTTAACTTAAGAAACTCTAATGTTATGTGTTTCAAAGAATTGAATTTAGAGCCTTTAAGTGGATTCAGACTATCTTATCAGAGAAAAGGTAAAGTTTATTTGTTAACCAACAATGAAGATGTTGAACGATTCATTGCTTACATTAGTGTTTCGCAAGATGATGTTACATTATATGTTGTTGAACCTAGAAGTAGTGAAATTGTGTCAGTAGCGGGTAGTAATCAACTAAGTTCTCAAAATTTAATGGTTCCACCACAATTTCATCACCAAGAAAATTTTGTTTCACCACATTTCCAATACCAAACACAATCTCAAAACCCATAACCTTTCCCTAATCCAAATCCCAATCAACTTTCAGCACCAAATTCCAGTTTTCGTATTGATCAGATAGACGAAAATGAGCCAACAGAAAAAAAAATGTGAGTACTAGTCAGTATTCGAAATTTGATCTTGGTCAATACCCGGACTTTGATCTTGGTCAATACTCGGATTTTGATGATGTTTCAGAAGAAGAAATAGATCCTACGTGTAATGATTTTGATATTGGTCAATGCCCAAATTTTGATGATGAAACAGCTGCTGTCGAGGAAGAAGTTGTTGATGATAATGAGGATGAAGTTACGACTGTGAATGAACATGTTGAACATCCATTCTGTAATTCATATAACCCTGAAAAATAAAAAGAAGAAGAAGAAGTCCCCGAAGAAAAGAAAAATAAGAAAATACCACGGGAGTATAACTAGAATATGCCAGAATTACTTCAGATACCGGAAGAAGAGTTGGTAAAGATAGCAGTTGATTGTTACACAAAAGTTATTCGTATCAAGAAAGATAACTGTTTTGATACAAATGAAGACTTGAAGATAACTTTGTATACGAAATGTGTGGAATACGGCTATCAACTAAAAGTTAACAAATCAAGCAAAGATCATTTCGA